TGCATCATGACTTCCAACAATCCAAAAGTATACTCATAAATAAGATTATTACCCACATTTTTATATACAAAGAAATTAAGACCGAGAAAGGTTAAGTAACTTACCTTAAAACTACACACCAGTTACCTTTAAACCTATCTTCCCAGCTCCAGAATCTTTTTTTTTTTTTAAGAGGTTGTTGCCTTACGGGTGCATGCGTTGCCAGAAAGAGACAGACAGGCAGAGATGGTGAGAGGGAAAGTGAGAAATCACACCCAGGGCAGATGGCCACACCGCAACCCCTTCTCCATTCTCCTCCCGGGATCTTGGGCACACACGCGCACACATACATGCACGGCATTAAATCTCAAGCTCCAGAGTCCTGGACTCAAACTACGGTCCGCCATGTGGGGGTCCAGTGACGTAACCACTATGTCATCTGCTAGCCCCAGAACCCATGTTTTTAGCCACTGGACTGTACTGCCTCCTGGTGGCACACATAGGAAGATTGTCATCATTGGGATCCAAACCAGCCCAGAACCAGGCTCGCAAGCCATTCTGCACCCGGTTTACCCGAAATGGGATCCAAAGGCTTGACTGCAGTTGTCACCTGTACTGTACTCCCATTTATTCATTTTGATGTAAATTTATAAATGGCTGTCTTGTTTTTAATCAGAAATATACACACAGGGTTTTAAATTTAAAACTGTAAAAGCAATTGCTCTCTATTCCTTAACTGTTTCCCAGAGGCATTTTTAAAAATTATTTTAGTGATTTCTTCTGTCAAAATGCTCACATGCTTGTCATCTCTGTGTATTTCTCTTTTCATAGCAACATCTCCTTTGGATCCATCACCTTTGCCTTTCTATGTTGAACCCTAACTCTTACATCCTATGTACTTGTCATCTCTGTGTATTTTTCTTTTCATAGCAACATCTCTTTTGGATCCATCACCTTTGCCTTTCTACGTTGAATCCTAATTCTTACATCCTATGTCTTGTTTACATCCTCACTTCATGGCATTTCTTGAGGCATTCATCTTGAGAAAAGAAACTACAGGAAACACTATTTTTGAGTCCTTAACATGTTTTAAGATGTCCATGTTTTGCTTTGATACTATTGTTTAATTAGACATATATCTTAGGATAAAAGACTTTTAAAAGCATTTTCCCATTGTTTTTTATGGTCAGTGTTAAAGAAGTTAAATGTCCCCCTTTTCATTGTTTTTTAACGTCAGTGTTAAAGATGTTAAATGTCCCCCTTACCCAATTCCCAGGGGAAAAAAAATCAAATGTCATTCTGATTCTGGATCCTTGGAATAGACCTATTATTTTCTTCCCAGAAGTTTATAGTTCTCATTTTTTTTTGGGGGGGGGGGGGGGCTGGGTACAGAGTAAACTAAAATCTTAAATGTTTATATTTTTTACAGAATTCTATAATTTTCTACCCTCATTTTTCTCTGCTCTCTCTCTTCTAAAATTCCTAGTTTTGTGTTTTGTTGACTTTTTGTTTCAGTATTTAAAAATGTCATCTTCCAAAATATCTAAAATTTTATCTTTTTACTTAAAAGAAGTTTCCTAAATTTTTAAAATAGCATCCTCTGCTTATTTCCTATGTACAATCAATATTTTCCCTGGAGTGTTAGATGTTGGAACTTTGTTATCAGTTATCTTCTAACAGAATGTGCTCCTTGGGAAAGATTTTGCCACCACGAATTTTTTTTTATATACAGTTGTCTGAGACAGACAAGCACCCTCAACAGGGTCTCACTCCACAATACTACCCACAAGCCAATTATGATTACAGGCATGTACACACCCACCAGGTACAGGATGACCTGAGAACCAAACACTGATCTTCCAAATGGCTTCCAGCAATGCAGAGTATCACACAACCACTTCACCCTTCACCACTGTGGCTGGGCCTATATAAGTATAGTCAGGTAAAAAAAAAAAAAATGTGTGTTTTAGTTCCTCTGTTGTTAAAAACTTGAGTTTAAAATGCTTTCTTCAAAACTTGTCATCATAAAAAGCTGGCCAAAAAATAAATAAATGAACAGAAAAAGAAGCTTCTGAACATTTGTAGCCACGCTAAGATGGAGCTTATGTGTAAATAACCGTGAAATAAAAGGATAGAGAGATGATTCCAGCAATCAGCCTTGGCCAAAGCACAGGGCTTTGACAGAGACCTGGAACAAACATGAGCTGCATTGTCCACTTGATTCAAAGTCCAGGTGGCTGTGATTGATTTTTTCCCCATTTTCAATTCACCACAGTTTTGGGGGATGGGGAAATTGTTTCTTTGTTGGTGGTACTTGTTTTGTTTTATGGCCTTTAGGCCTTTTAACAAGAATTCAATCTCTAGAAAATAACCCACATTAAATACCCCATGTATGTGTGATTTTTTAAAATAAACGACAGAAATGTTTTTATATTGGCATTCCTTACTGTAAATAACAATGACAGCATATATTACTTGTTCAGTCTACAAAATACATTGGTTTACACTCTCAATGCAAAAACCCTTTAGGACAAAGGTAGGTTTTAATTCCCATTTCATAAAATTTTAAATTTTGGAAAACAAATATAGCACAAAGGTTATGAATCTCACTGTTCTCAGCTGCAAACTAGAATAGCACTTATCTCAGCAGTGTGTGTTGTATTATTTTATGCATGTCCAATTCAGCTGACACAGTAAGCACTCGAAAAGTGCTGGTCATTGTAACATTGGAAGCTGCCTAGATTCTAGTTTGTTTTGGTTTTATTTTTATGTTTTTGCCATGTGCATGTGGTTATCAGAGGAGTGATGGAGAAATGTGAGAAATCACCTCTTGGGATAGATGGTCATGCCTTAATCCCTTGTCTTCTATTCTCATCTTGGGATTTTGGGCATGTACACACAAGTGCCTGGCATGATTTACAAGGTGTCAGCCTGGGACTTGAACTGAGGTCAGCCATGTGGCAGTCCAGCGCCTTAACCAATGTACCACCTGCGGGCCCCGATCCTAGCAGTTTTAATGTAATGCTTCAGTGACAAGAAACTGACTCCTTGAGCCTCAGAATTTCTTTTTAAGACTTATTTTTATTTATTATTTTTAATTTGACCAGAGTCGGAGAGAAAGTGAGAAAGCAAGTCACAAGGTCTGGGACTGAAATCAGTTAGCCATGTGGGAGTCCAGCGCTTCAACCACCTGCTGGCCCCAGAATTATTTTTTATTAGTATTGCTCACATGGTACCATCTATATCAATTCAGGAACTGTCATCCAGTTTTTCCCTTGTTTATAAAATATCTTGTGTGTTTTGTTTCTTTCTTAATTACAAACCTCTCAGGAATGAAAATTATTAGTCTTCTAAAAGCCTTGTACAAATTTGGGACTCACAGTACTATCAGCAGACTCAGGTTGGTTTTAAATTCAGAGTTATTTTGCTGCTAAGTCTGGTGCTGAAAGGAACTCAATTTCAGACAAAAGTTTTTATTGGTTACATTTCTTAAAAGAATTTGCTGTTTACGTATTTTATGAATAAAAATACTGTCATATGTCAAATACTGCATTAACAACTTAATGAGTAATTCTTAAGGATAGAATAAAAGGTATTTGTAATTCCAAAGGATCTGGGGTTCTTTGTTGTTGTTGATTTTGGGGATTTTTTTTTTTTTTTTT